ATGTGCTTGAATGCTTGAGTTTGGTTGGGATTTGTTCCGCGGGAAATACATTTAGTGAGGAGGGTAAATTTGTAATTTTACTGTTTAAACCAATTTGGGTGTAAAAATGGGTGTCGGTTCATGGGTGTAGGTATCGCTGTCCGAATTGAATTACATGCTCTACACATCTCTTTATTTGGTGCAATCTGTTTTTACAACAACAATCCAATTTCGAGACAAGAATCCAATTTCGAGCAGAGCTTGCATTAAAATCATGTGAAAAATTGGCTTGTCTAAAATTAACTATTTAGTTATTTTATTTATTTTATATATAATTATTTTATGCAATTGGCAGGGTTTAGACGGTGAAGCAACTGAACCTATGATCAAAGAATTGGAGGAGGACAGAGAAGAGTCACAAGATCCAGAGGTTGAGTTTGCTATAGCTGGTGCAGTACGTGAATGTGGAGGACTTGAAATCTTATTGGGCATGATCCAGGTTTGTGTGTTACTTTTAATAGATGTATTTACTTTTACTTTAAGCCATACTCATTTTCTAATCTATCTGTTTTTTCAATTGGCAATACACTCTGGGCAAAATTAGTCTTTGGGAACTGTAGAAAGTGGTTTGAAAATGAGATAAGGCTAACTACTAATTTGCGTTCTTAATTGCAAGATAGAATTTATGTTGGCACATATTTTACAAATGGCAAGAATATTAAGAGGGCGGTTAATTGGGAGCAAGAGAAAATTAAACCAATTAGGATCTTTCTTTTAAATTAATGCATTCCTGAACATATTCAGATTTTTTGGCCATAAGCCAAACATCTTTGTTTAATTTTAGTCATTTATATACGTAAAAACATTTTTATTCAATGATTTATATTTTTTAGGCATGAGAAACTTGCTTCCAATATTTAATTGTGGTGGCTTGTTTGTGCTTTTAATATACAGCGTTTGAGAGAGGATTTCAAGTCCAACCAAGAAGAATTGGTTGCTGTTCTCAATCTCCTCATGCACTGCTGCAAGATTAGGGAGAACAGAAGGGCTTTACTGAGGCTAGGAGCTTTAGGCATGCTTCTTGAGACAGCAAGGCGTGCCTTTTCTGTGGATGCTATGGAGCCAGCTGAGGGTATTCTTTTGATTGTTGAAAGTCTGACATTGGAAGCAAATGAGAGTGATGGTATAAGCACTTCACAAGGTGTTCTTACTGTTACTAGTGAGGAAAGTGGCACTGGGGAGCAGGCCAAGAAAATCGTTCTTATGTTCCTTGAAAGACTTTCCCATCCTATGGGCCTTAAGAAGTCAAACAAACAACAGAGGAACACTGAGATGGTTGCAAGAATCTTGCCCTACTTGACTTATGGTGAGCCTGCTGCAATGGAAGCACTTATCCAGCATTTTAACCCGTACTTGCAAGACTGGAGGGAATTTGACCAGTTGCAGAAACAGCATCAAGACACCCCTAAAGATGAGAACATTGCTCAACAAGCAGCCAAGCAGAGGTTTACAGTGGAAAATTTTGTTAGGGTTTCAGAGTCACTCAAGACCAGTTCTTGTGGAGAGAGACTGAAGGACATTATCCTAGAGAAAGGTATTACAGATGTGGCTGTTAGATATTTAAGGGAAAGTTTTGCAGTAACAAGCCAGGCAGGCTTTAAATCTAGTGCAGAATGGGCATTGGCTTTGAAACTGCCATCCGTCCCTCATATATTGTCAATGCTAAGGGGTTTATCGATGGGGCACCTTGCGACTCAAAGATGTATTGATGAAGAAGGAATCTTGCCCTTGCTCCATGCTTTAGAAGGTGTGTCTGGAGAAAATGAGATTGGGGCAAGGGCTGAAAATTTGTTGGACACCCTATCTGACAAGGAGGGTAAAGGAGATGGATTCTTGGAAGAGAAAGTCTGTAGACTGCGGCATGCAACTAGAGATGAAATGAGGCGTCGAGCTTTAAAGATGAGGGAGGAGTTGCTTCAGGTATGCTTTGTTGAATTTCTAACAACGAAGAGAAATTTAGAGTTATAATTTCAAGCATATTAACCTCTTTTATAATGAGTATACTTTATTTCCATTTTTGGGAGGACTAAATTGTTGCTCATGCATTGTTTTACCTTCTTCCTTCCTTTTTTTTTTTAAAAAAAATTTTTTTT